CCCGGAAGGAAGGAAAAAATAGTTTAAAAGAATCTAATTGGTGCTTTCTTTGTTTCGATAGGAACTGTAGAACAAAAAATTTCCCTTCTCAATTAAAATGCTCAAAATGTAATTCTAAGTATCATAATATATTGTTGCAGGAAAATAAGGAAAAGATTAATAAGGAAGAAATTAAGAATAATTCTAACGCCGTAACAGCAAAGCGTCTAAATATTTTAGTGTGAATCAAGAAGTTAAGGAATTAATCGATGAATTGCCAACTGTTAAACTTATTTGTGATGCTAAATTAATTAATGCTGTAACAGATACAGGCACACAATTAACCGTTGTCAAGACTGACATTGTACCAGAAAGATACCGTACGCCACATGGAAGTGTTATCCTCACGTCAGCTTTCGGACAATCTTTAAAAGCTCCTCTCATTAATCTACCTTTAGTAATGTATTCTGAAGATGATAAATTTATGTCACCTATTTTTATAACATGTGCAATGGTGGATAAGTTATGTAATGATTTACTCTTGTCTTTAAGTGCGTTTAATGAGTTAAGTGGAGAGGATAAACGAAAGTTTAATTTTGAATGCAAAAATGTAAACATTACTAACGATAGCTTGATTGAAATACATTTTTATGAAACTGAAAATTTTGACGAAATATTTAACCATGATAGGTAAAACCAACCTAATTAATGAAAACTGTAATGAAACTGTTAAGAAAATAATAGAATGTTGTGCTCTTGTATATGAAGATACAGGTAAGGATGATTCCAAAGGTAGCACGAGCCAAGATCAATGTCTTTCGAATTCAGAACTATTTCGGGTTCAAAAAACGAATGATCCATCTTTAAAAACGTGCTGGCAAGAGGCTAAGAATGGAAGTAATACTTTATTCTTATCTAAAACTTTTTATATCATAAAGATAAAATTTTAGGAGAAAGAATTCACCAGTTAGTTGTTCCTAAAGAAAGAAGAAAACCAATTTTGAACTTAACACATTCTAGCTTATGGGGAAGTCATCTGCGAACCAAGAAGACGCTTGAGATATTCCTTCTATTGGCCTGAAGTCAAGAAAGATGTAAATGAATATTATAATACTTGTACTTCTTGTCAACTTTAACCTAAAAAGCGTCCCTTTGATGAAGTTCCGATTGCGCCAGTAACACATCCTAACGAACCATTCCGGGTAATAAATGTGGATATCCTAGAACCTATACAACCAAGCTTTTGAGGTTATAAATATGTTTCGTGTGCTGTTGATCAATGCACAAGATGGCCTGAAACGATACCATTGAAGAATCTGAACGCCAGCTCAACATGGTATGCCTTGTTGCAAATCTTTACACGCACTAGAATTCCTCAGATTGTTGCTTCGGATCAAGGAACTAATTTTACTACTTCGTTGACTCAATGAGTTTTTGAAAAGGATCGGATCGTCCCCAAGGTCTCAACTCTTTACCATCCAACTTCAAACGGCGTTGTAGAAAGCTTTAATGCTCTTTTAAAAGGAATGATACATCATACCATCAGAGAATATTCAAAAGATTGGGAGAAACACTTACCATACTTACTTTGGGCCTATCGAGAAGTTCCTAATGCTACAACTGGTGTTAGTCCTTTTCAGATGCTTTATGGAAGACGTTCTAATGGCCCTTTGTCTATCTTGAAGACGTCATGGACTGATGAAACTCCTGTTCTTTATGGACAATTAAGCTCAGTCACTGATTATCTAAATGATGTAAAGATGAAGTTAGAAAAAGCTACTGAATATGCAGGACTTACAGCCGTTGGAAAGCAACACGCTTATGCATTCTACCATAACTGGAAAACTCGTCATAAAGAAATTAAGGAATGTGATAGGTTTATAGTCTTAATTCCTGATAGTCAAAACAAAGTTCATGCCAAATGGACGGAACCTGCTACTATCATCAAAAAGCATACTAATTATAGTTACATAGTACAAATTCCTGAAAGTTCTTCGAAGCACGTTTACGCAATCAAGATACGAGCCTTCAATACTGTTGTGAATAATGTCGGTGTGACATATGATATGCAGATATCGATTTCGGAAAGTTGAAAACTTTTAAAGAACTCGTGGAAATTTTAAGGAGGCATAAGAACTTAAGATCTGGTATTCCAAAAGTTGCCAATGTTGGAGAACATAACATAAAACTAAATCTTGGAAGTGAATTCTGCATCTTCAAATGATTCTCTAACTTACTGGAGATTTAGCATACCGGTAAGAAGCCGAATCTAAGAAAACTACTACTAAGTATGAGAGAGAATTTGCACATGACTGTACAAAAGATGATATCTTTACTTTGATATGTGATATTAACAAAGTAGTGGAAACTTTGAAAGAAAAACGCGTTTATAAAGGTTTAATTGAAACTTCTGGTTCTGGTATTAACAAGATCACAGAATGGATTACCCTAAAGAATTTGGAACACGTTGAAATGCAAAGAGATCTACATAAGGAAGACAAACTGGATTTTATTGCCAAAGAAGTTTGTGAGATTCGTGATTTTTTAGATCACGAGAAATTGACAATGTATAGAGGAAGAGGTGAAGAAAATTCAAGTGAAATATACAATTATAAGAAGAACGAAGATACCGATTCCTGGAGAAATAAAGAAATCATCTTAAAGCCCCTCAAGGAAGATATCGATGTATATGATGAAACAAAAATAATATTGATGAAAAAAATTGGAATCGGTGTTGTAGATTCTTTTTTCAGAAAGAATGGGGATATAGTAGTTAGACTTAGTAAAGACCAGTTTGTCTTCCTTACGTAGATCCCTTTGCATTTCAACATGTTCCAAATTCTTTAGTGTAATCCATTCTGTGATCTTGTTAATACCAGAACTCAAAGTTTCAATGTAGAAAATTGGAAAAAGCGGTTATTGATTACGAAAAACTTAATCAACTTGTAACGCCAAAACGTAGAAAATTTATACGACATAAGGTTATTAATTACAGTGTTTCTAATTTTCTTTCAGACGAAGTACTTACAGAGGCATTAAAAATGGAATGTTCATGAGGTGCTGTGTTCGCCCATTGTCTAAAATGAAAGCCTCAGAACAGGAAATATCTCACAGAAGTTTTCATGTTTCACGAGAGTGTCAAAATTTTATTTTGGAGGAGCAGAGAATAACAATCGGTTGGAATACACCAACTGCTTGGCCTTCGGGCACACTAGAAGATTTTGTAAAAGCACAACCGTTTGTGGAGTGTGTGCGGAGAATCAACTGCGTTCTAAGTGTTCTGATTTCGTTCGCTGTACTAATTGCAAAGAATACAATCGACGTTTCAGTACTAAATATAATGAGAAACATGATGCTCTTTCTAAGGAATGTCCTGTGTATTTGGAAGAAATTAGATTTGTTAAGGATCATTTTGATATATTAAGTTTATTTTATTTATTTTGGTCGGCTGGGACATTTTAAATCATTGTCCTTACTTGTGATTTACATTTCTGCACTCTAGCGAATTTTTGTAACGAAATGAATTTTCCCTTACCTTTCATTTTGTTCTTTTACGCACAGCGGCTATTCTAGATTTTGTTTATAATTAATCTAGAGACTGCGATTTTATGATTTTAATTATAAAAAATTTTTAGCTGATTATACCAATTTTAGTATAAAATATTTGCAACAAACTATTGAACTCATATGTTATCTTTTTATATATTTATATTCTTTTTACCTCTGAATCCTTTTTACCTATGAAAATTTTAAACTCTAATTTAAATCACTGTCTCTGCTGTAAAGTAATTAATCAACAACTCAGTGTTAAAATACTCGTTGTCAACTGTAAATAAAGTAATTAATGCTGATTTGAATCTTAAACAGGCGAAAAAACATAATGTGCATCGCCTTTCTCCACGACATATCTCCGAAAGCAGAACGCATTGCAGGATTCTTTATGAAAAACATTTATCCGGAAAATAGAAAAATGTTGTCACAATAAACTAATTTTGCGGGTATTTAAATGACTTCAATAAAAAGAGATCCATTTATTATCATCAAAGAGGAGGGGGGGGAAACCTTAAAACATGGTTCAAGGAATCTAAAGAATGCTTTTCAAAGGGATTTATGATTGTTGCTGGTTTTTCCACAATATCATCAATCAGTAGAAATGCATCAAGACAAGGCAAGCAACAGGCAAAACTATCTGCCTTCTTGCCCGCTGGCCGAATCTACTGTTAAAATCCTGGGGAAAAAAAATGGAACAAAAAAATGGGTATCAAGGCCATATCCTTCACTCATATCCCTACTAAATCTCATGTTCTGTCACTAATGTATTTTTGCGCTTTTAGACTTTTAAAAAGCGGGTTGACCAAACGTCGACCTACAACCTCCTTAGACTTTGGGAAGGTGTTTGAGAGCGATGTGATAAATGCTTCTACCGATACTACAAAAGACATTATTATCTTGGAAATTAAGATGTATAAAAATAGTGAAGAATAAGAGTTACCAAATACAATATTTAAAACACGAAAAATGTTAGGTAAAGTATTTCTGTAATTAAAATGAAAATCATCTAAAAATGTGCGAATAGCCTCTGTATAGAGCCAGATAGCGGAATGCAACAAGTGAATTATATTTTTAGTCTCATGCGTTATTACATGACATGTCTCAGACCACATTCAAAGTTTGTAGCCTTTTCATGTTACTAAAGCAACATCGCGTGTATTCGGTAAAATGACGAATGAAAACATGACCACGCTAACAGGCACATTATTTAGAAAAAGGCTTCATTTAAAGAATTGTTTGTACAGTATTTCAAGGAAAACGAACAATCCATATTGATGTGCTATATTTTTCATTCATTTGATTTTCCTATAGTAATGTATTTCATACACCAGATTAATGCGAAGTTACGACAGGTCAATATATTTGAACAGCGTACTCTATTATAAAAGATGATATTCGTGTTGCTTAAAATATATTTGTTTAAATTAAAATTGTCCTGCCTTTATATATACTTGAATTTGAAACATTTCCTTGGGAGTTGAAACCAGTAAACAGAAGTAATGAAAATTGCAATAGTTAACAAGCTGAGCTTCTCAGCTTCGATTTTTCTTTATTTTTTGTGTAGTTTGACGGTTTCAGGATTGGAAGACGGAGTCGGTGATATGTCAGAAGAAGCAGTCGGCAGGTGCTGGTACGCTATTACCTGTAAATTAGGTACATATACATACTTTTTCCTTATAGATATAAACAATCATTTTCGATTAGAAATAATATTCCTAAACTCCAGCGAATATTAACTAAACTTCGCTTATTCGAAAAGGGAAAAATTAATTTTCTTAATATTTCTTACAAGCAATCATTCTAATAAAAAATAAGTTTTTGTCAATGTTCCATCCTTTAGAGGAGTCGCTTATTACTTCCTTCTACGATGTAAAGGAAGTATTATAATCTAAAAAAATTTTGGGTGTCATATTTCAGCGAAAATATCCATTTTGATGCTATCGAATGAAATTTAACGATGTTTTTGCGTGACTTCTATACATAAGGACACAATAAAGGACTCTTTTCCCCAAAACGGGTTGCAAAAGGATTAAAATGCGTTTTTTTTTTTTTTTTTTTTTTTTTTTTTTTGTGTGTGTGTGTGTGTGATATCTGTACGTACGTGAGTAAGTATGCATGTACTTACTCACGTATCTCGCATAACTCAAAAACGAGTAGCCTCAGAGCGTAGAAATTTTGTATATAGAGCTGCTATAACATGTTGTTGTGCACCTCTCTTTTTGGATGCAAATGGCAGCACTAAAAATACATAAATATATATGTACCCACTCTGTTACTCTGCTCCGTATCCTCGGTTTTTTTTATGTTATTATTATTCTTATATGTTGGTAAATTGGTAATTTTTTTGCTTTAGAAATGATTGAATTATGCTATTCTTATCATCCGGTTAAGGGTTTTATGCCTTTAGCTAATCTGCATGCAATAGTTGTAGAATTATCAACAAATTAAAAGTTGTTAAGTGCGGTTAGGACTCATTTCTTTACCACAGCAGCCATTTTTTTTTTTTTTTTTTTTTTTTTTTTTTTTTTTTTTTTTTTTTTTTTTTTTAGTCCAAAGGCATTTGAATCCCGAAGGACTATTAGTTTCGTTTTGGCATTTTGCGTCGGACGGATAAATGTCGGTTCACTTTTCAAACTGTTGCCATAAAATGTTAGAGTCCTGCATTATATTTGAAGAAATTAAATAATGAAAATCTGCGTAAATGTATGTATATTTCTCACATTGTCATAAAATAACGGTACATAGAGTCATCGAATTTTGAATAACGTAATCCTCCAACGAATATGAACATGTGGAAGACCAAATTTGAATTTTGTTTTATGATCGATTTCTTATTTTTTAAAACTTTGACGAATTTTTGATTAACAAACTCAAGGATTTCAAAGCCAGCAATGGCAACGTTGTGCAGAAAAACATTTTTATCTCCAGCGCGTGAGTCTCTGTATCGGAAATTCTAAAGATATGCTCGTTTTAAAACTATTTTGCGATATTGCTGTTGCACTGGATCTTATGGTTTAAGTGCGAGGAACATGATATTTAATAAAGAAAGGTAACACACCAAAATGTTAAAAAACGCCCCTTTGGACGTAATTTAAAATCTGAAACATTTCAGATTTTTTTTTTTTTTTTTTTTTTTTTTTTTTTTTTTTTACATTATGAAATTTTGCAGAACAATGAATTCAGTTTCTTTATCTGCAGCGTCTTTTTGCCGAGTGGGACCAACAATAAACTTTCAGTTTTGTGCACCGAAAAATCTGCCATTTTATCCGCTGCCCGAATTACTTACTTTTGCGTAGTAACTCTGATTTTAATAGTAAAAATTGTTTGAACTATATTTGGTATTTCAAATTTTTCTATATTTCTCAATTTTTAATACAGATATTTTTAGGTTTTATGTATTTTTGCCTTGTAGCGAAGTAAAAACTGAATTAATTGAATTAGAAATATATATCTGATGAAATTTGAGGAAATAAGTTTAAATGAAATGCAGGAAAAATGAAAAATGTCTATAATTAATTTAATATTCCATGCAAGGGTGTCATGTCGTGTACACATCAGACTTTTTGTTATGTGTATATGTTATACAGCAGAAAAAGTGATGTCAATGCATTGTAACTAGAAACATTTTTAAATAAATTTATGTACTAAAGAGCCTTTACTTAACTATTATTGTCGGATATTACGTTAATACAAGCTATTCTTTAGTACGAAATAAACTGCTAAAAGTCAAAATATCAAAGTTTGCGAAGAACATAAATCATTTTATAAAAAATATTTAATTAAAGTTCTAGCTTTTAAATTCCAACGGTTATGCGGGTACTGCTTTTAACTGTTCCTCAGTATTATTGTAACTCATTCCTCTTCCTAGGTTTTAGATATTACTACTTAATTTACAATCTAGGATTACTATGGATATACCTTGATCTGCCTCTTTAATGCATGCTAGACGTTTAAATCTATGATTTTTGTATTTTTACGCAGCTCTCTGTATAAAATATGACACAAGATAATATTATTCTATTAATCATTCTACAATTATTGCTTACTTCATAACATAATTTTGTTGAATTTATCATTGCATAAAATAATTTTTAAGCGTAACGTAATATCACTTTTTGCCATTTATTTCTTTGTGATTATTTGATGCATATCGGCATCACTGTTGTTTTAAGCCAAAAATGCACCAGCTGTAAAACGTAACATAATTTTAAAGAAATTTAGCAGAATGTCTTGAGCAGCTGATTGGAGAATTGCTTGTCAGTTACTCTCCTCGATTTGTAAACTGTTTATATGTTACAATTCAAAATGTGAATTTGATTAGAGATCATTTCTAAATCTAAAATCATTTAAAAAATATACACTGCTTGTACAAAAGTCCTTACCCGTCTAATGCGTACTTAACACAGTTTCACGCGGCTGTTAACCAAAAATAATTACGAGAGAATGGACTGTAATGTTCACTTTTATTTATTACATTAATTCTAGTTATGCGAAATTTACTGCAACACAGCGAGCCATAACATGGCTGTCACAGGAATGAAGTTCTATCTTTTACTCCAATTGCTGCCACATACAATAAAAAAGTAAAGAGAAACTTACATTCCAAACGATAAATCATATATTAATTACTATAAACATCCGGTCGGAGCGGACTCCTGATTCAGCCATCAATACAAAAACCAAACGATCTTATTTTCATGAGGTCGAAATACTCACATGAGCACCATTTTTTATTTTCGTAAGCATTGGTCGTAAAACATATACTACTTCCAATAACAAAAATGTTTTATAAATCTTTGACTCCCGTACGGACAAATATTGACCGAGAATTTTTATTAAAATCGCGGGCGGCATTTAGGGCGTGCCTACAACTTGAAGACCGAAATGTTTGCTTAAAATATCAGTTTACATAACATAAAGGTTTCTGAGTTTAAGACGCTACGTGACGAGTATTTATATGGAGATTATTATAAATATTACTGACCAATATAACATTTTTTCAAAGTGGAGATCTTATTCAAACTTTACTGAATTCGTACTCTAGAAAACGAAGTAGGCTTCAATATTCGCACCATTATTTGTAATAAAAATAACAAACATTTTTAGTTTAATAACTTTTTGTACAATTACCAGATTATGATTATGAAGTAAGAAAATTTCACGAGACTATTAATAACATATTTTAAGACTGAAACGTTATAAGCTACAGTACGTTCCTATCAGTGACCTGAGTAAAAGTCCCCCAATTTTCAAAATGTGCAAACTCTGTCAAGTTTGCGCACAGCCATTCTTCAGCCAACCATGCTCATAACAATCCTTCACTCGAATAAAGCCGCCCATTTAGGTAATTTTTTTTTTAATTCCAAGTTCTAAACGGTCTTATACAAATCGTGATATTTTTTAGCTTAGTTTTAAAATATAAGCTTGTGGAATTTGCTATCAATGGAAGAAACTGTGGTAAAATTTCTGCAAGATCACAAAATTTTGTTGAAAATTTTCTAAAGGGGAAAATGAGCATGCGTTTCCTAGATAGCCACTTTGCCAAGGGTTGCACGAAACCGAGCAGATAAATGTTTACCTTGTGATGAAATGGAATGAATATATATATATATATATATATATATATATACGTGTGTGTGTATGTCTGTGTGTGTAATATGATGACTTGCTGTAGAAAGCTGCAACGGTCTGGCCACGGCTCTCTGCGTTATAACTTAGAAAGACTTTACTGCATAATTAGAAAGATGACACTCGAAGGACAGGCTTCTAAGCAGACGTCGCAGAATCGAACATAATTGTTATTGATGGACACAAACTAATTATCAAAACATATTCTTCATCACAAATGAACACACACGCCACAGTTTTATATAGAGTATCACATTTTAGATAACGGCGTAGTTAGCGGCACGACAAAGCAAAGCGAAGTAACATCTTCGGTGCAAGAGAATTGAAGCTGAAGTGCGCAATTATCCAATATGGAGGCTCACCAAGAGAAGGGTTTAGTTGATATTAGAAAGGTTTTGGTTCTCGAAATTTTGAGTTCAAGTTCCAAACTAGCTACGTCTTCAGCGTTACGAAAGGCATGCAAGATGGATTCATCTAGAAAAGATGCAGTCCAGAAAAGTTATTATAATTTTTAGAGTAGAGAGAGAAAATAATGGAACTATTGCTAATTTAAATTATAATTTTGATTTACTTATTTTTATCTTACACACACACACACAGACACATATATATATTGTTACGAATTTGGTATTTAAAAAGCTAATGTTAGTTCAATTATAAATTAAATGGTTTTATTTCTCGAGCAGTGCAGCGCGTGACGAATATTAAAAGAATGCTAAGCCAGAAAATTGAAAATACAAGAGCGCTTGCATTAAATAAATAAATATCTCTTTTTGATTTCGAGAAAGTACTGGAAAATTCTAGCGCGTGATTTTAAAATCTTATAAAAGGAGGAAAACATCTCAGTTTGTAGTAGTTGCTTAGTTTGTTGTTGTTTAGAAAAACTGCTCTTGTTGATTGTAGCGAATTCGCGGATTAGCGTTCTTTAGCTGTTTTGAATTACGTTCTATTGGACATTTGAGTAGTTAAAAGATAACTACTGTGAGATATTGTAATACTGCATGATAATTTGAGAAAATTTAAGC